AAGGCATGTGCTGCTGTTCCACATGGCCTGTCAGAAGGCCCAGGTAGTTAGTTTGGGACAGGTTATTTCAGCATTGGTGTTATTCACAGCATACGGTTTCTACTCTTCCTTGTCACCGAAAGACAGGCGATTTGGGGTTGCTATGGTGCTGTCTCACATCTCAAAGTAAATGAAGATTAAAAAAAGACATTATCTTGCTAGATTGATACTGTTCAGCCAAAGATGTAACAGGAACTGTGACACTTTGTCATTTAGCATTTCACTTGAAACAAGACCACATATTTTTAAAACACAGTCAACTTCAGTGGTCCAGGAGAAATTTATATCAGACGGTTTTAAAGCATTCAATGGAGAAAACTATTTCTCAAGGTTAGGAAACATTTTCATTTATTGAGAAGTGTGTTTGCTAAACCTGCCTCATCATTTGTGAACGTGGGAGTCAGTGGATTGCTGTGTTTGTGCGTGATTGGCACGGCGGCCAGTGCCGGACCCGCAAGAACATGTTAGCCTGGAAAACGCAAGAGGTGATGTTGGTGAGGGTGGTATGTGCTTTGTGTTCTCTCTCTATTGGCTTCTAACCAGGTTTTTCTTTCAATGTATGTCAAATATTTCTCCCATATTTCTCTTAGCAGAGAGGCTTTTTATACATATAAGATAGGGCACTTTTTTAACTCTACAACTGATATTCAGTGGCTTTGTATGTATGTCTTAATTTTGAATTTTGAAAATTTGGAAATCTACAGGAAAGTTGAAACAGTAGTACTGTGGACACCCTATAACACATGGAGTCACCAGTTGTTAACATTGTGCCCCATTTGCTTTAACTTGTATGTATTTTTGAATTTAGCAAAATTGGAAATTAAAAATTTTAAAGTTACAGATATACAAAATTATTCATCTCAACACTCATTGTAGTTTGACTGCATCTGATTTGTGTTTAAATCGGGTTTTGAGGTTTTGAGCAGATTTTGAGGAATTTTTTTCCTTCACCATAGACATAAAAATAGTATTCTAAAGTCTGTTTCCCCAAGCCTTATATTAAAACTGTGAACCCACCACATGTAGCTGTGATATCTCATCTTTCTAGAATGGCACTTGTTGAAATGTGTGTGAACACTACCCTATACCTAATGCTTGTTACAGGGATTATATAAGATTTGTTCACTGGGACTCAAGGTATGTTATTTTTAAACTTTTCAGCATAGCTTAAAGCAAATCATACTACTTGCACAAATAATTTGAAGAATCAAATAGGGGGTTTGAAAAGGAGGCCAATGATGTTTTCAGGAGGAGCAAAACCCAAGTTCTTTGGGAGAGCTATAGAAATTATTTAAATAACTTCATATGTATTTGTTATTAAATTCTAATTCCTTTGTACTGTCAGAAGGTCTTTTATAGGGATTTTTTTAGAAATCACATTCACAAATAAAATTAGAAGTCCTTAAACACACAACATACGTAAACTGAAATTTCGTGATGAAAGAGTTCTAGTTAGTGAGTACTGCATCAAGGTCTATATATTACTTACTAAGGACAAGAGTTAACAAAAACCATTCCTTGTTTTGTGGGCAATTACCTAGGCTCTTCCCAGACTATGGTAAAGAATTGCTTAGCCTTGAAAATGTGGAGCGGCACTATTGTTTCTAAATGTTGTGTCATTCATCAAGTGCAATTCACTTAAATGAAATAACATGAATAGATTTTTCTCTTGTAATGATTTGAGTAGGAAGAAGCCGTGTTTTTCTTTGGTTCATTTCATCTGTAGGGTCGATTGAACTGGACTTTTTCATTTGCTTAGAAAAATAAAAATCATTTCTCACTATTTAAATATAAAATAAATGCAGCACTATTTCATGGTAATCATGGTTGCCATAAGTTTTACTCTTTTGAATGTGGGCATGACTGAAAGCAGTTAGAACCAATAATTTAACCATTAAAATCAGCCATTCAGAACCAATGCCTTGTCTGCACAAATTACTTTTTGTTAGCTACCAGCACTCAACTGTTAAATTTAGCAATTGATGTGGTAATTTGTAATGAACAAGTGTGTGTGAGTAGTGATTAAAAATAAGATTCTCAAGATAGAAATGTCTGAGGGGAAGAGAGGTTGAGAAAAACAAAGTTTAACACAGATCATGCAAAAAGACCAGGGCAGGAGACTTTAAAACGTGTAGCTGAATGGCCAGTGTTGCATTCTAGAATGTTAGAAACTTCAGCTTATGTCTGCTGAGGGGGGAGAGCAGTTTTCCAGTTAGTGGCTCAATGACTGCAAACTAACAGGATCTGTCACTTGCTGCAGTTTGAATGTGACAGGCACAGCTGAGGGAAAAGGGAACCTTCTCCCCTCCAAGTATTGAATGTCGGCTCCAAATGTCATCACACCTGATCTGTATACCCTTCCAGGTGTTCTTCAGCACTATTTTAGGTGAAGCATTCTAGAAAGTGACAAAATTTATATATTTTACATCTTTCTCTAAAGCTTTAAAACTTTACTTATCCTTTGTAAGCCTGCTTGTGAAAGATTTCATTTTTAGTATGGGCTTTAAGGATTTTAGGGCTAGTCATCGGAACATTGATTTAGATTTTATGGGTGCAATAGGAGCCAAACAAGAAATAAATTATAACTGTTGGGATAGAAAAGACTACTGACATTATTGTAGGTATATATATATATATGATTGTCCACATAGAAAGCCCAGGATTCTCAGAATTCATATGAAATTGGCAAATACTTCCATATGTCCAAAAGTTAATAGTTTTCTTACATTCAAGCAAAAGACATAATGGGAGGACTGGCCAGTTAGCTCAGTTGGTTAGTGATGAGAGTTTGGATGTGTTGTCCCCGCCAAAACTCATGTGGAAATCTGATCCCCAATGTGACAATGTTGGAAGCTGAGTCATGGGGGCAGATCCCTCATGAATGGATTAATGCTCTCCCTGGGGGAGGGAGGCCTGAGTGAGAGCTCACTCTATTAGTTCCCACAAGAGCTGGTTGTGTAAAAGACCCTTTCACCTCCTCTCTCTCTCTCTCTCTCTTGCCATGTGATCTGCTTGTATCCACCAGCTGCCCATCGCCTTCCACCATGAGTAGAAGCAGCCTGAGGTCCACACCAGATACAGCTGTCCCTGAATCATAAGCCAAATAAACCTCTGTTCTTTATAAATTACCCAGTCTCAGGTATTTCTGTCATAGCAACACAAAATGGACTAATACAGTTAAGAGTGTGGTGTTACAACACCAAGGTCAAGGGTTCAGATTGCTGTATGTGCCAGCTGCCAAAAACATAATAATAATAATGGGAGTGTGTTACCATTCATCATGGTAAC